GATGACTGGTGGACTTCAACTCCCAGAATTCCTCAGCCAGCGTGCTTGGCTGAGGAATTCTGGGAGTTGAAGTCCACCAGTCATAAAAGGGCCAAGTTTGAAGACCCCTGCTACAGAGACACTGAAAAAAGAGCCTTATGACCGCTTCTCACACGACCATTGCAGGACCCCCAAATTCGGGCACTTTATGATGGCTGCAGTGTCCCAGGGTCACATGAATCACAATTTATAACCTTCCCTGCTGGGGATGGTTGATGTGGGGAAACCGGATTTTCTTCAGGACCAAAATGATTCATTTAACAACCGGGGCGATTCATTTAACAACTGCGGCAAGAAAGGTGGCAAAAAGCTCACTGGCTTAAAGACATAAAGTCTGGGGTCAGTTGTGGTTGTAAGTCAAGGACTACCTGTGAAATCAAGTTGATGACATGGCTGACCCGGTTTATGTCCTTCACGACTTACGACCGCGATGGAAAGGTCGTAAAAGGAGGCCCTTTGTGCAACTGTGGGTGGTGCGCCAGTGACGCCCTTTCCTGGACCAACAATCCCTGCTCACGGTCACTCACACCTTAGTCACCTCCCGTCTTGGCTACTGCAACAGGCTCTACATGGGGCTGCCCTTGAAGAACATCCAGAAGCGGCCCGCATGGTTTTGTGCAGACCTGGGTGTGCGCATGTGTCACCTCTCCTACAGGAGCTGCATTGCTTTGACCATTAGTAGTTCAGATTCTTTATAGAATGGAAGTTTGCAATCATTGGAAACTGATCAAAGAGAGAAGCAACCTGGAATTAAGGAGAAACTTCCTGACAGGGAGGACAATCAACCAGTGGAACAGCTTTACCTCCAGAAATCGTGGGCGCTCCATCACTGAAGGTTTTTAAGAAGAGGCTAGACAGTCACTTGTCTGAGATTGTAGAGGCTCTCCTGCTTGAGCAGGGGGCTGGACTAGAAGACCTCCAAGGTCCCTTCCAGTTCTGTTCTGTTCTGTTCCGTTCCGTTTTATTCCGTTCCATTCCATTCCAGTCCAGTCCAGTCCAGTCCAGTCTTTTCCATTCCATGTTCTCTACTCTACTCTACTCTACTCTACTCTACTCTACTCTACTCTACTCTACTCTGCTCTACTCTACTCTCAGCATTCCAGTATTTGAGGGGCTGCCACAGAGAAGAGGGGGTCAAACTATTCTCCAAAGCACCAGAGGGAAGGACGAGAAACAATGGTTGGAAAATTTGAACTGCCTGGATTTCCTGATTTCTCACGCTGGACGTGAACCTTTGGCAAGCCCCGGTTTTGCCTTGTTTCAAGAATCGGACAGACACGCCGGCGTTGGTTTCGCGGCAGAGAGGAATGCAAAACTGCACCACTCACGTTATAAAGTTCTCCACGTAGACCGCAGCTCCGACCACACTCAGAGGAGGCATCTGAGCAGCTTCCGCCTGCAGGTGCTTCATTTCTTTCTCCAAAACGTCCAACTGCTGGCAGATGGCCTCGTTTTTGTGCTTGCCCTCAAACTGAGATGGAGAGAAGGCGTTATGGGGTTCGAGCAATGGATTAATTCAATTATTGGAATAACCCAATGGACGGTTTATTGTGTTAGATTGGCAACCGCTGCCCTGCCACGTTCATTTCTCATCCCAGGGGCAAAAATGGGAATGGAGTAGATCCTCCCTTGGGATTTTCTGTTGAAGGGAAAACAAAAACAAAACCATTTGTCTGAAATGCTATTAGGGCTTCCTGCCTGAGCAGGGGGTTGGACTAGATGACCTCCAAGGTCCCTTCCAACTCTGTTATTCTGTTGTCCGTCCTTCCTTCCTTCCTTCCTTCCTTCCTTCCTACCTTCCTTCCATCCATCCATCTTCCCCTTTTCGTTCTCCCTCCCTCTGCCTTTTTCTCCTTCCTTCCTTCCCTTCCTTCCCTTCCTTCCTTCCTTCCTTCCATCTTCCCCTTTTCAAAAACAAAAATAGAAACATTTCTCTGAAATGGTATAGGGTTTCCTGCCTGAGCAGGGGGTTGGACTAGATGACCTCCAAGGTCCCTTCCAATTCTGTTATTCTGTTGTCCTTCCTTCCTTCCTTCCTTCCTTCCTTCCTTCCTTCCTTCCTTCCTTCCTTCCTCCCTCCCTCCCTCCCTCCCTCCCTTCTCCAACACTGGAAGTTTTTAAGAAGAGACTGGACAACCATTTGTCTGAAATAGTATAGGTTTCCTGCCTGAGCAGGTGGTTGGACTAGATGACCTCTAAGGTCCCTTCCAACTTTTCTATTATTATCATCATCATCATCATAATTATACATCATCATCATCATCATCATTATACATTATCATCATCATCATCATCATTATTATTAATCAGGAAGCTGAGTCCTTTGGATTACTGGCCCTCTAGCCCAATAGCTGCAGAGATTGCAGGACACACACCCATACACACACACACACCCATATGCAAAAAAAAACCCAACCCTCCTCTGCCCCCGAACTCCTGACATTAGAGGGAGGGCAGGTTCAGGAAGAGGAAGGGGCTTCTGTTCTAACCTGGATTGTTACATGAGCTGCTCCGTGGCAACTTTTCCCCGATCCAGCCCGGCACTCCAGGTGGAGAGTAACTTGTTCTTCTCGGTTGATGTAAAGCTTTGGCAACGTGTCCAGCATCTCGCTACTGAAAGCCACTTGCTGGGATTCCCGAAGCGCTGCCCGTCTAAAATTTAACAACAACCAGCCATGAACTTGTGAACCGAGGACAACCCCGTACACCGGGGGGAAATATTAGAGCAAGCAAATGAAGGAGACTGAAGTAGGGGGGAGAGTGTCTCTCTTTGAGAAATCTGGGGGTGGGCAATCTTTGGAACCACTGTGCTCATTTGGAATTGGAAACCTGGGGGGGGGAAGGTTTCCGTCCAGATGGGGGTTCTGCTTCTGGTCTGATTCAAAAGCAGTGGGTCATGGTTCCGATTAGGGCAGGGGTCGGCAACCATAAACACTCACAAATAGCCACTTGGACCCAGAGAAAAGAAAACACTGGGAGCGGCCAAAGTTGTGCGCGCACACGCACAGGAGGCGGGGAGCTTGATTGAAGAGTTTAATTTAAAAGAAGTAGAGGCTGATGGGCATGAGTTCTCTCTCTCTCTTCCTCCCTCTCTCTCCTTCTCTCTCTCTCTCTCCCCCCCCCCTTCTCTCCCTCTCTCCGATCTTCTGGCCAGCTGGCCTGAGGCTGTTCTCTGACAAGCTGACACACATTCTTATTGGGCTGGCTCTCTCCTGCCCTTGGTCTGCCAGTCCTCTTCCCCCACTCAGTATGAGTGAGTGAGTGAGTGAGTG